ACACACACACTCAGACAGCAACACTAGGGCACACCGCGTTAGCATTAGATCCATGCTGCAGCTATATTAGTAGTATAGTTAAAGCACGAATGGGTCGGCTTGAGCGGCGGGGAAGGACCACGCTCTCACAGAATACCAGCGTAAAGTAGCAGCTTAACACTGCTGTGTTTCGTATGGTGAGTGTAGAGAACCGGAGCCTCCTTTTACTGGAAAAGAGGCATTCTATCTTAGTCCTCACGGGTGACAATGCATCTGCATTTTGAGTCGAAATCGAAGATAGATAAAGATGTCTATGGGACATAGCAACCACTTATCATTAGGTGGACTGTGTGCTCGTTTGTCACCTTATCCTATAAAAAAAAACAAGCCGTACACAATACCCGTGATACGGGGCGTTTTTAGTTTACGACCCGTTTTCCTCATTCCGATAGTGGTTCAAGCCGAGGTTCGTACCTCCTTCTGAGGTGCCCTTGAATCACATCGACCCCCCTTCATAGCACAAGGAGCCTTACTCCAAAAACAGGGGCATGGGTGCCTCGAGATCATAGTCGGCATCGTAGCGCTTGGCGCAGCGTCGCCGCGCCGCCGGCAGAATCGTTGCATTCGATAGCTCGCAAGTCCTCGCTTACGAGTCTATTGCGATGAAGTCGTAAAAAGGTCGCAGTGGCAAGAGCATACAATTAAAAAAAAAAGATATTTAGAATTTTGACAAGACCGACGTCTAGGGTTTCTTTTTTTTATAGGATAGGGTGAAAAACTAGCCCACAGTCCACCTGATGGTAAGTGGTTGCTATGACCCATAGACATCTACATCTATCCTCAATAAAGAATCAAAATGCAAATGCGTGATCACCCGTGAGGGTTAAGATGGAATATATATAATATAATTATTTAAATACAAATATATATATATATATATACACATATATATATATATATATATATATATATATATATATATATATATATATATATATATATATATATATAAAACGAGCGCGCGTCATTTCTTATATTTACGCGACACATTTAAATAAAACTAATTTTACGGATTTTATCGCGTATATTAAATTATTTTATATTCCCGACGTTTACACTACACTAGCACTTCACAGCGCTCATTGTCACGGCGCTGTAAAGTGCTCGAAACGTGCATAATTAGATTGACTTGACCTTCGCATGAAAACACAATGTATCTCACAAGCAATACATATTACATTAAATAAGATTGTTTAGTGCGATTGCCAAGTCAATATATGTATTTAAAACATAAAAGGTTTTAATATTGATATGGTCACTATAAGATGTTGTTAGGTTAGCTAATTACGTAATAACTTGAGACAGAAGGACCTTTAAGTAGGGCCTGAATAAATTAACCGATTTGGTATTACATGGAGCTCACAACTTTTTACGGTAGAAGAACTGAGTTGCGAGGCTTGGTTTTTTTTACAAGTTATGTTTTTAATGGCATTCATTATTTACTTTATTACTATTGAGTTTCAAAAATATAGCTGAAATTAGAACATTGTTAATTTGTAAAACATGAGACCGCGGGTAAAGATATTAATATAGCATCTGGGGATAAATGAGTATCTTTGTTTTCCTATTGAATAATATCGTTTAAATAAATCGAATAGGTATCACCGAAGTAATAAATTTAAATAATCTAAAATTAGTACACTTTCACTAAAGAATATCACATACATTATACGTTATTTTATAAAAATAAAAAAATGTGAGCAATCTTATTTCATGTTAAGAATGTTATAATGCCTTATGAAATTACAAATTGAATAGAAATGTATCTTTTGTTGAATTAAAAAAAAAACATGTGTGCAGTTTACACGCGATAGAAGTGAAACCTTCAGAAAAATAAACTTCGAGAGTATGATACGAATGAGGAGTATGAGGAATAGGATAATTGTAAGGTTAATTTATTAGATAATAGCTGTGCCCGCGGCGTAGCTCGCGTATATAGGTTTTACTTAGAGAATTTGACATTCAGGTAAGAGAATATTAAACGATTTATATCATTACTGTATCAATAAGTGATAACGTCAGTGTAACAGACGTCTCTGGTTAGTGCGTACATACACTAAACGCTCCGTCTCTATTTTCGCATACATGTCCACTATAAATTGGTTAAACAACCGCCGAAATCTTTGCAGATATGCAAGACGATTATGCCTTACATGTAACAGGTGCGAATAAAATTGCAGAGCAAATATTTTTTTTATTAAATTTGGTCTCTCTGGTATTAGGATTAACTTGATAAATTCCGAAATTGTACCCATTTTCACCGTGACAATATATTAATATTTTGTCGTAATATTTATTGATATTGTAGAGCATCATAATATCGATGCGTTTCATAAATCCCTGGCAGTCGATCGTCATGTGTGTGCAACACGATGTCACGTCTATCGCACTCCTGGTCAACTAATACAATTTTTCTATTACAAACTTTCAATTTTATCATCGTAAGTAATTCAATATTTTCTAATCAACAAATTTCGTCCTTATTCCTTATTGCTTATAGATAACATGCATAGTCTCCAAAAATAATAGTAAACACTGAATACTATCTCATTCCATCGCAGGCTAAATCCTATAGATGCACTGCCCTCTATGTATACATAGAGGTCAGTGTTAGACGCTATATGCTTGTCTATTTTCAATGTCGCTTGATGGTTTCATCGAGTTTCCCAACACAGACGTTATGACTACCGAGGAGAGATACTGAATATATTAATAAATAAAGAATTATAAGCTTAAATTGTTACATGTACAAAACTGCACCAAATATCAAACAGTGACTTTAGTTTGTAGTGAGAGTTTTAATAGTTTTTAAACTTAAATAAAATGCGGATATTTATTCATATTATAAATCTGTAGAAAAGTCCTGTCTTTTCTTTTTTTTTCTTTTTTTCTTTTTATTTCTTGGAAGATACAAGTCCAGGGGACTAAACCAAATTAGTGGTCTTAAAAATTTTGTCCTTCTGTCTGTCTATCTACTTGTCTGTAAATTAACGATTCACGCAAAAACTACTGCACTGATTTCCATGAATTTTCGTAAGTAGGTAGTCAGTGAGGCAACTTGTAGGTTGCTTTTTCCGATTACAGTACTTCAAGAAAAGAAGGTTAGTATTCTCATTCCTTCAGATTTTTTCTAGAGTAAGAATTTAAGACAAACGAAAAGAGTTAAGACCAATTCCTAAAACACACCAATATGTTGAGAATTTTAACGTTTAACAAAAAAATATTTTCATTTACTCAGTTCTGCCTAGGCTATGGTATGTGCCTAGTTAAGCCTAAACTAGATTGTCCTGGACTAAACTAGTATATCCTGACACGCGTCGGATAAACCGATTTGGCATCAAATAATCAGTGGTCGCGTTAATGCGTACATCTGCATTTTTGTATTTTTGAGTTGACACATCCCCAAATACATTTCGTTGGTTAGATTGGCTGACAAAACACTCCTTTCCCCAATTATCCCTTTCCGGAAAATTATGGCACATCTTCTTGTCAGGTATACATCAAAACTTAAAAACGAGACTGTACAACCAGTGCGTGTTGCCAGTGACGACTTATGGAACTGAGACGTGGTTCTTCACTGCTGGCCGGATAAGGAAGCTCAAGGTCACTCAGCGAGCTATGGAGAGGGCTATGCTCGGAGTTTCTCTGCGTGATAAACTTAGAAATGAGGATATCCGCAGTAGAACCAGAGTGACCGACATAGCCCAAAGGATTAGTAAGATGAAGTGGCTGAAGTGGTAGTAAGTGAATGGGCCGGCCATATAGCTTGAAGAACCGACAACCGATGGGGAGAAAAGGTTCTCGAGTGGCAGCCTCGTACCGGCGGACAAAGTGTAGAGCGTCCCCCACTAGATGGAGTGACGACCTGGTAAGATATGCAGGAAGTCGATGGATGCAGGTGGCTCAGGACCGTGCTTTGTGGCATTCCTTATGTTCAGCAGTGGGTGATGATGATGATGAAGACATGTATCGTGTCATCGAGTCATCAAGAGAATCGAGACATGCCACCCATTCTGTGTTACTGGATACTGTGTTTTACCCATTCTATTTTGTGAGCTGTCTTATTTATTGCTTCCAATCCGCAATAGTTCAACAATAGTCCTTTCGTGTCAGCATATTTTCCAAAGTATATTGAATATATACCGCACCGACACGTCCTCCATTTTGTTTTGGTTCCTCCGATCACCTTTTAATTCCTTCATTCCAGCATGCTGACCATTATTTTTTAGTTACCTTGTGCCGGAATTGTTGAATTCATAACTGTAGAGACCATTATTTTATGGTCCCATCGAGCCGCACCTAACCGCTGAATCAGTCAGACCGGTAGCCATTATCGGAATGATTTACCATAATAGCCACGTTTAGCAAAATCACAAACTAAACTGTTATACTAGATACTGTGCACACAAAACTGTGATTAAGAGAGAAGCGCTTTAGACGAATATATTGGGTGTCTATCGACGTAGCAATAATTTCACCATCTTCTTTTGGTGTCATGTTATCCGATGTAATTGAAAATTAAGTGCACTGTGAGATTTTATCTCTTTTGTTTGAATAGTTCTTGGCATCGTTGGATGACTAATTGCTAAGTATATGTGGTCCACAATAATTGTTTTCACAATTCCAAATTAAGTGTATTAGATTTATTCACGGCCATAACTAGATGTTGCTTTGGTTATAATAAAACATATTATAAATAATAAACTAATATATTTGTTAGAATAGATAGGAAAAATATACGCTGATAGAATCTTTACAGTTCAGATAAGTTACGATAATTTGCAACTTGCAACGATCTTTAACGTGTTCATGGACTTTATTTTTAAAACAAACTTTGTTGAGTGATTTTTTATTGTCATGTAGGATTCAAGTCGTTTATTTAACGACATTGTGTTTATCAAGTGCGATAGATGTATGCCCTTTAGATAATCTTTAAAAGAAGGAATTACTTTGAGATATTTAGTTTCGATAACACCAACGTCGAGGTGACGGTTGAATATAAACGTGAGCCTATATTAAATATATCACAAATATCAAGATAAAAGGAAAGGAAAATGTTATGTAAAATTGTTTTTCTGTAAGTCGTTTTCTTATTTTATTAATTACAATTCAATATGAATAGTAGTTTAAACTATAACTTTGATAATTTGTAAAACATGGGAACGTGGGTTAACATATTAGTGTAGATGTGTGTTTTTGTTTTACTATTAAATAGTACCTACACATCTTAGATCGAATTAACACATAATTGCTAAGTAGCAAATTTCCACTAAGTAAATTTATCACTCACATTAAGTATAAAATAAAAATGAGAACAATATTTTTTATGAAAAATGGCCTTATGAAATTAAATGTTGCATTGATGTTATCTATGGTTACGTATGTGTGTGTTATGTTGATGAATTAAAAAGCATTTTACAATAGAGAATATTGGAAAAATAATAGTTTTGTAACACTTATTTTAACCGACGATTAAAGATATTTTTTTGCAGTTTTATTGTAACAAGTCTCGTATCATATGAATGTAAGAAGCACAATGTTCGACGAGATGTAAGGAAATTTCCGGATGGATTTCTATTTGGAACTGCCACTGCCTCTTATCAAGTAGAAGGAGCATGGAACGAGGATGGTAAGCATTTTTTTGTGGAATGCGTTGGGTCTACTGAAAGATAAGTAACTAATAAATAGAAACAATTTATTTGTTAACAAATATATTTACTTGCTTTTCAAATTATTCTCTATTACATTTTAAACACTCTGTGGGCTGTGTGATTTTCACCTGTTGGTTGAACGCTGTCACTGTTTCTTCTATATATGATTAAGCTACCACGGCCTCTTCTGTTTGATATTTTTGAAGCCAGAAGAGGCCGTAACACGGCTTTCTCCCTTCTCTAAATATCAAACATTTCTTCAAATTTTTGATTTTTGGAAAAAAGAAGAAATTGCATGGGTCATGAGCTTCTTCTTATCAAAGCCAAAAATTACTTAGTCTTGTTCGCTGTGTACGCCGAAGCGTTGTCATGGTGCAATAGGATGCGACTTCTTGGTCGTTTTCCTAACTTTTTAACAAATACTGGGCAAGCAAGCGTCCACCTAGCAATAACTCTTTTGCTTATCAAGCGAGACTGTGCAGGCAGGACCCGACTAGGAGAAAAACAAAACGCTATTACTTTTTTGCCCATGCTTTTTGCTTGTCTACACTTTGGTGGTTTTCTATCGCTTTCTATAGTAAGTCCCCTATTGAAACAGTTCCATGTTTCATCTCCTGTCACAATATCATACACAACATTTAAACGACCGTCATCATACTAGTACTTTGACAACTTTTTTTACACCAGTCAATTCAAACGTAGGCGAGGCGACTATAAAATGAAAAATGTGTATTGATTTCAATAATTTGGTTTAATAAGTCAACACTTACAAAAATGAGTGTAGTGCAGTCGGACATTAAAATCAAAGAAAAATATATTCATCTATGGAGCAAAGGAAGTGAAAAGTTGTCAAAGGAAATCACTAATCGTACAGAAATCATAAAAAATATGAACAATATTTCATTAAGGCTCGTACATATTGTATAACATTGTCCAGAATTCATGAGGAATCCGACAAAATGTTCTAACTTTTAAATGTTTGACTCATACCTAAATTTCTTGAATCTTCTTATAGGTTTTCTTCAATTAGCCGTCTGACAGTAGCCACATATTCTTCAGTTTAGATGTAGATGTAATTTTTTTTAATTAGTTTCATACCAGCACCTAAATGTCTTCAAATCACCTCATAGGCAATGCACTGGTATTCTTCAATGAGCCGCCTGATAGTTAGTCACATTTTGTTCAGTCATTGTAGTTGGGGGTTGACCTTCACGAAATTCATCAGGGAGAGAATCATGACCTCGATCAATTTCTACGTACTAACACCTTACGGTGCTCAAATAAGGTGCTTCCCTCCCAAAATTCAATGAGCAGTGCAATCTCGCGGAGAGAATTTAAAATCATAAAAAATCAACGCCCTAAAATCTTTTCGCATTAATTCCATTTTTGCTACGGATGACGAACTTCAACTAGTGATAAAAACAATTGACACGCGTCTGCCCGTTTATGTTTTAAGCTTCGTTCAGATCTACCAGCACGTAGAGTGCCCAGCACGTAACGTGCAGACACCGTACCGACAACAGTTTTCACATCTCACGCACCCTGCATGAACAGACGTCATCAGGTAAACTATAAAGTGCACGTGCTTACAAGATTTTTCATAAATAAAATCCTTCTTACATGAAATTTGAAGTTTTTCTGCTACTTCTTTCCATGCGTAATCTTTTCTTTTGGTTGTCACTGTACCTGCGATCACACATCATACCAAAATGTATATTAAACACCCGCAGACATGCACCAGCACAGACAAAACATTCTTGTTGAGAATGCTGACCAGTGCCGGCCCGTGTCTGCGTGGACACGCTCCGCTTGTGTGCGTTAGTTGTGAATATATCTATATATATACTACTATATATGTATCTGTGTCTGGCACGCTCAATGTCTGTAGATCTGAACGAAGCTTTAAAGAGGAGGTCAGTTCACGTTACTTAAGTTTTAAGACATATAACATTCGAAATTCAAATATTTCTGAGAGGCCAGGAGACTGGAACTATCAATTTGCCCTATGTACTTAAAATATTTTTTCCAACTTTTGTATTATACTTTTTCCTCTTGTAGGGAAAGTGGAAAACATATGGGATCATTTAACACATACCCAGCCCTGCATCATCAAGGATTGTTCTAATGGCGACATCGCTGATGACTCTTACCATTTGTACAAACGCGACGTGGAAATGATGCGAGAGTTAGGACTTGATTTTTACAGATTTTCACTATCTTGGTCAAGAATTTTGCCCACAAGTTTCCCTGATAAAATAAACGAAGCAGGTGTTCAATACTACAACAACTTAATCGATGAATTGCTTAAATATAATATACAACCAATGATTACTATTTACCACTGGGATTTACCACAGAAACTTCAAGAAATGGGTGGCTGGACTAATCCACATATTGTCGATTGGTTTGGTGACTATGCTAGAACAGCATTCCAGCTTTTCGGCGATAGAGTAAAATACTGGATCACTATAAATGAGCCCTATCAAGTGTGTAAACTGGGTTACGGTGATGTTAAAATGGCGCCAATGCTTAATATCCAAGGCGTGGCGGAGTACATGTGCGCCAAAAACTTACTCTTAGCTCATGCGAGGGCTTATCATATTTATGACGAGGAGTTTAGATCAACACAAGAAGGTGTTATTTTTATTTCATACAACGCTGAGTGGCATGAACCGGCAACTGACAATGACACTGACGCTGCTAATGAAGTCAACGATTTTCAGGTAAAATACACATGAACTGCTGGCTAATATAATCGTTGCCTTAATTAACATATCATTATATTGCTTAACAATAATTTGCTGTTTGCTCTCATCTGTGTTAGATTATTATATCTATTTCAACTCAAACATGGTAGATGAGTAATTTTCAATACAATATATGCATAGTATTATCGTGGAATTTTTTTTATCGGAGAGGAGGTAAACGAGCATGCGGCTCACCTGATGGTAAGTGACTTCCGCCGCCCAAGAACAACCGCAACACTAGGGGAATTGCAGATGCGTTGCCGGCCTTTTAAAAAGGAGTAGGCTCTTTTCTTGAAGGTCTCTAAGTCGTATCGGTCCGGAAAAATCGCTCGTGGTAAATTATTTCACTAGGAAGTTGTGCGAGTAAGAAAACATCTTCTAAATCGCACAGTGGTGGACCGCCAATCATCCAGATGGTGTAAATGGTATCAGGAGTTCTGCCGCGATGTGCGTTCGTGAACAATTCGAACTGGGGAATTGTTCGAGGCTGGGATCAATTCGAACAATTCCCCAGAGCACGTCCCGTGGTAAATGCGAAAGAAAATGCAAAGAGATGCAACATCTCTTCGCAGCACCAATGGGTAGAGCCTATCAGAAAGGACTCGGTCGTCGACGATTCGAGCCGCTCTGCGCTGGATGCGATCAAATGGAAGGAGCTGGTACTGGGGAGCCCCAGCCCAGAGATGGGAACAGTATTCCATGTGAGGCCGAACTTGCGCTTTGTAAAGTTGCAAGCGATGTGCCGGCATGAAATACTGTCCCGCTCTGCTGAGCACGCCAAGATTGCACGTCACTCGACATGTCGACGCTGAGGATTCCGATACTAGCTGAGGCAACAAGGGGAGTACCTTGAAACTGAGGGGATACGACAAAGGGGTCTTTTTAGCGGTAAACGCGCAAACTTTTAAAAAATTTATTTTATTATTTATATATTTTAATAATAATAATAATAACCAGCAGCCACATATAGAGGGCGCCATGGATCTCCCCGCTCTAGTTGATTCAGGCGATGATGGAATGGTCACCCAAGAACTAGAGCAGATGAGGAGTAAATTGGAGGAGGCGATTGTGGAAACGCGCAGTATGCCTCTCGAAAATCGACCGCGACTCCCGCGCATACCCCTAAGCGAGCGAAATCGGGCTGTCGTGAGGGCTCTCAACCCAATGCTGGTGACCTATTTGGAAGCCAGCGGGGACCTTTGCGAGACGGACTCAATTCTTTTTGGCGCCGCACTGGCAGTTTGCCGTATTGTTGGCGCCAAACTTCCCACGGCTGGACGCGCTACTAGACAAAGTAGCGCCATCCCAGCCTGGAGAAGAAGGATTGAGGACCGTATCGTAAAGGCAAGGGCCCTCATTGGCAGGCTGATAAGCTTCAGGTCGGGCAATAATAGGCCGAGAATTGTGCGCACCGTCAGGTTGGCGTTTGCTGGGACAAATATCAGTTTGTCCCAGCCGGATATAACGCAAAAACTGACGGAGCGCATAGACGATCTGAAGCAGAGAATCGCTGCTTGGGGGAAGCGGATTCGGCGATATACCGAGAGGTCGACACGGTTCAACCAGAATCGTCTCTTCCAGAGTGATCAGAAGAGGCTATATAAATCATTGGAGCGACCAATGGTACGTGGAACGGGCCAAGCACCGAATCAGGCCGACACTGTCGCATTCTGGCGCGGCCTGTGGTCAGAGCCCATAAACCACAGTGAGGGCCCTTGGACGGAAGTTGTGGTGAGTCAGTGTGCGAATCTTACGCCCATGGACCCCGTCATTATAACGCCGGACGATGTAGCTGAGGCGGTCCGAAGGGCCCCGAACTGGAAAAGTCCGGGGCTCGACGGGCTGCATCACTACTGGCTGAAGGGGTTCGTGGTGTGTCACGCTGTGCTCGCCCCACAATTTCAAGAGGCTCTCGACCAAAAGTCGCTCCCGAGCCTCTTCACTACTGGGATCACTCATTTGGTTCCTAAAGACCGGGATACCATAGACCCGAGCAAATACCGGCCCATCACGTGTCTACCCACGATATATAAGACACTAACATCCATTTTGAGCGCGAGAATCACTCGTCACCTGAACTCAAATCAGGTGATGTCGCGCGCTCAAAATGGATGTCGGGGCGGTGGTCGTGGAACCAAGGAACCACTCCTCATTGACGCGGTCATTGGCAAAGTGGTTAAACGCAACCGTCGGAACCTATCCGCCGCCTGGATAGACTACAAAAAGGCATTTGACTCGGTGCCTCATACATGGCTGAAGAGGGTCCTCGAGCTGTACAAGGTTGACTGTACAGTTAGAGACTTCCTCGGGCAGTGTATGGGGCAGTGGAGTACGATCCTTTGTCATCTAGGCGAGCGGATGACGGCTGCGGAGAACCACATAAGGATAAGAAGGGGTATCTTCCAGGGCGATTGTCTGAGTCCAGTCTGGTTCTGCCTCTCTCTGAACCCTCTCAGTACCTTACTGGAGGGCTCCGGGAGGGGATTTCAGCTTCGGAGGGGAGGTACAAAAGTGACCCACCTTTTCTATATGGATGATCTCAAGTTATTCGCCTCCAGTCGCTCTCATCTTGTGGAATTGCTAAACATCACTTGTGATTTTAGCAATTCTATTGGAATGGGGCTGGGGACGGATAAGTGTGCGGTCCTCCATGTTGAAAGGGGAACGGTTGCTAACTCCGAGGGCATAGATTTATCTATGCCCATCAACATAAGGACCCTTTCCGAGGCTGAAACATACCGATACCTGGGTACGTCACAGAACATCGGTGTAGATGAGGCGGGTATGAAACAGTCAGTTTGCGATGTGTTTTATGCACGCTTGACCAAAGTGCTTAACAGCCTTTTGTCCGGTGTGAATAAGACGCACGCATATAACGGTTGGGTCATGCCTGTTCTCATGTATACCTTTGGCATACTTAGGTGGACTCAGACCGAACTAAACGCTCTGAACAGAAAAGTCCGCACTATAATGACGTCCCACAGGATGCATCATCCGAGATCGTCAGTAATGAGGCTGTACTTGCCGCGGAAGCATGGTGGGCGCGGCTTTTTAAGCGCGCTTACCATGCATAATCGCGAAGTGTGCAGCCTCCGTAATTACTTTCTGACGAGAGCGGATGATCCATACTATAGGGACGTTATTTCTTGTGATAAAGGACTGACCCCTCTATCCTTAGCCAACGAGCAATGGCAAGACCCAGCAGTACAGTGCATTTCCGACCGGGAGGCCGTATGGAAGGAGAAGGAGCTCCACGGGAGGTTCTACAAGGCTCTACATGAGCCTTTCGTAGACACAGTCGCCTCCCTTCACTGGCTACGTTTCGGTGACCTCTTTGGGGAAACCGAGGGTTTTGTCTGTGCGATACAGGATCAGGTTATTAAGACCAACAATTATCGGAGATACATCCTAAAGGATGGTGCCGTCGACATCTGTCGAGCTTGTCGCCATCCCGGTGAGTCACTTAGGCATGTCATCTCCGGTTGTTCGGCGCTTTCTAACTCTGAGTATTTGCACAGACACAATCTAGTAGCCAGGATTCTACACCAGGAGCTCGCTCTGAAATACGGCCTCGTGGATCGGAAACTGCCGTATTATAAGTACTTGCCGGAAGCCGTGCTCGAAAATGACCGCGCCAGGCTCTACTGGGACCGGGCCATCATCACAGACAGGACTATTCTTGCGAATAAGCCTGATATTGTGCTGATGGACCGGGCACAGTTCAGGATCTTTTTGGTCGACATTACCATTCCTTATGACGAGAACCTCGTGAAAGCCGAAACAGATAAGGTGACAAAATATCTGGACCTGGCTCACGAGGTTACCGGCATGTGGGGTGGTCTGCTGACCGAAATTATTCCTGTGGTCGTTTCTGCGAACGGGTTAATCCCAGTCAGCCTCCCGGGTCATCTGAGGCGACTGGGACTCCGTGACGGACCGCTCCAGGCTCAAATGCAGAAGGCGGTGCTCCTCGATACCGCCCGCATCGTCCGCCGGTTTCTTTCCCTTTCCCCCTAACCCTCGGCCGTCTGGTCTCCCCTGCCGAGGGCTTCCATCTGGTTGGGTTTTTATATATTTATGTATTTTTTATGTATTCATTTTATTTTATTCATATTTATGTATGTTTACCATTTTCATTTACAATTATATATTTATACTGCCCAACCAGATGAGAAAACTTTATAGATACCCCATAATAATAATTGTTTTATTATTTCTCAATACATTGCCATGCATTACATAAATTGAGGTAGCTCCAGTAAGTTATAAAATACTTGTGTTGGGACTACCTTTAACTCCTTTAAATAAAAATATATTTTATTTTTGAGTTGGTGATATAAAATTTTACTGAGCAATGTTTTTTAATTTTCCAGTGGGGCCAATATACTCATCCTGTATTCTCGGTGACGGGTGACTTTCCGCCTTCTATGAAAAAAAAGATAGCAGCTAAAAGTGCAGCTCAAGGCTATCCTAGGTCTAGGCTTCCTGAATTCACTCCTGAAGAAATTACATACATACGCGGTAGTTCGGATTATTTCGGACTAAATCATTACTCAACGTATTTAGTATACAGAAACGAATCTGTGTATGGTTATTATGATTCTCCGTCTTATGGCGATGATTTAGAAGCCTTGGTTTACCAGAAAAATGATTGGAAAATTGGTGAATCTAATTTTACAAAGGTAATGTACTTTGTGGCAGTTGCTTCTGCGTACGTAATATTACAATATTACAATTAGTACATAGTTAATTAAATGACAAGGTATATATATGCTATAGGTACTAGATAGGTCAAATAATGGTAGTAACAACGTACTTAACCTATTTTTAAAATCAAATACAGTCTATAAATAGTCCACTGTTAAACATAGATTGCCTCACATAGGTATAGTTTGGCAATCTTTTTTATTATTTTCAGTTTTTATCTGGAAAATGCTGTCGCATTTAAGGACACGATATGAGGTAGTGGATTCTCTTACACTGTTACTACACGGTAGATACCGTAATCTAATTCTATATTATTTTTGTATTTATACAGAGAGTTATAACTACTAAATGTGGTCTAAATTCGAAATTGGCCCAAATTAGAAAGTGGCCGCAGTTACGTAAAAGTTGAAAAGTGGAATTCTGCAAAGGATGTAAATCATATAACATGAAGAATGTGGACTATAGTCAGTGGATGAATATAAGACCTACTTTAATATTCTAAAAGGTCGAAGGTCTAAGAAAATATGGTGTTAAGGGCAATATGATTAAAAAAAAGTGAGTGAAAAGACTACTATTAATGTAGAATGGAAGAGGAAGACATGCTATGCCAACCCTAAATAACTGTGGATAAGGCCAGGAAGACGAATATTTGTAAGAGGGTTTAAATGTCAATCCAGTTGTAGTGTTCATATTTGATATTTTATTTTATTTAGGTGTGCGCAACGCAATAATGCAACTATTTTTATCATATTTTCTTTTTTCTCTTATGTTCAATGCTTTGTAAATATTTATTTTGTTTATTATATTGGACTTAATATTTATAATGCTTACAGTATATACCGTGGGGCTTCTACAAGCTTTTGACAAAAATTAGGAGAGATTACAATAATCCTCCGATTTATATAACTGAAAACGGCTTTCCTACTTATGGCGGACTGAATGATGAAGATCGCGTGACATACTACAAAGGATACTTAAATGCGATGCTGGATGCCATTGACGACGGGTCGGATGTTAGAGCGTACACGGCTTGGAGTTTAATGGATAATTTCGAGTGGATGCAAGGATATACGTTCGTTTTTTTTTTAATTTTCTTTATATCAAGCAGTAAAAAGTATAAATATTTCAAAATAATGTTTTTGTTTTCTCTCCTTAGAGAGCGTTTTGGCCTGTACGAGGTGGACTACGAGAGCCCTGAGCGCACGCGCACGCCGCGCAAGTCCGCCTTCGTGTACAAGCAGATCCTGCGCACGCGCGAGCTCGACTGGCACTACGAGCCCGACACCGACGTCATGACCATAGATGAGGGACACTAAAATATATTAATAAATAAAGTTTATTTATAAAAAATGCGCTAAATAGCAAGCAGTGACGATGTTATTAATGTCAAATATATCATATATTAGCACCAATTTTCTTCTATAATAATTCTGTAGACACTTTTGCACACAAAGTCAAAAATCAATATCAAAAGCATTTTATTCGGTTTAGGCTTATTTAAAGCTCCAATGAACGTTAAAATCAACTGAAGTTATTTTTTTACTTTTACCACCGGTTCGATATTTATAGCATACAATATAGCACAATAATTATATTGGAAAAAAAAAAATAGGTGAAGAAAGGCTGCACTTAGATATAAACTTATGAGGGAGTGGTTAATAAAGGTTTAATTAATGAGAGTAGGATTACGCTCATAGAAGGAGGCCCAATGCTTAAAGTAGAATTGAACAGCAGTAAAAAAGTTTACTGCAAAGAAAAATAATTTCTACCTTATGTTTTTCACATGCTCAACGGAAAGGTTTCGTAGTTTTTTATACAAGACCCTTTTCAAATAATAATTTGTCACCTCAGTCACATTATAATATCATTGCTGACCATACTTTGACACTTATATAATACGTTCTATACAGCTGCAGGTCTCCTAGCGTCTTAATCATCTATCTCAAGAGGTAATCTGTGAACAGCACTGTGGGCTGCGTTATTGCGTATATTAATGTTACTGTTACTATCTGTATGTAATATATATAATGTAGCTGTTAGATGTTCCACTTTGAATAAATAAATAAATAAATAAATAAATGTTACTTCTGAATGAATCTGAATCTAAGGTTACGAACTCATATGTTAAAATCAATCAAGCAGTTTAGACTCTACTGCCTCCGCCCATCTATGAGTCAGGTAGACTAGAAGATCATCAGTTGATCGACCCCGATGAAAACCGTATTGGCGGTCACTAATCAGCTGGTGATCCTCAAGGTAGGTACCGCATGAGCTGGCAGTTTATAATGGATGCCATTATTTTGGAGAACAAGAAGAGGTGATTGTGATAGGCCTGTTGTTGGACGGGTCTGAGCGGTCGCCTTTTTTAGGAATCGGGTGGACGAAAGGTGTCTGCGACGAATTCAGGACTATGCCTTGGGAGTAGGAGTACCGGAAATGAAGCGTTAAAACCGGTGCAAACTCCGGAGCACACGTCTTCAGCACAATGGGAGGGACTCCATCAGGCCCACTCGACTTTCTGACGTCCGGGGAGAGGAGTGCTTTGCGAACCGAGCGCTGTGTAAACCACACATCCGTCATGGTCACACCGCGGAATGGTCGGCGGTGTGCTCCCCTCGTCATCGAGAGTCGAGTTGGATTTTACAGGAACTGGCCATAATTCTAAGATCTGGCCAATACCTATATAAAGTATCTTTATTAAAACTATAAGAATAATGAGAGTTTTGCAATAATTTCAGTTTTTATCAGTTAATTTATAGATAAAGAAACTAATGCGTACTAAACGTTTTTATAGATTAGAAATTAAACTTAGAAACATCTCAGATCAGAAAATCTGTATTTACAATCCAACCAACTTAATAAAAGTGAAAAACAAATTACTCTAAATTGGTTTGTTTAATGCTGGGTCGCTGGGTACACGCCAAGACGAATTTATAGCTGCTCTAAAGGACTCCCAGGTTGACATTATGGCAATAAATTAAACATGGTTGAGGGAACGTGAGGAAGGCCACGCGCCCGTTGTGCCCGGTTACCGGCTGCGGCACGCGCCGCGGTCGATTACCGTGCGTGGCGACCGCGGAGATGGCGTTGGCTTTTACATACGCTCGGGGATAGCAGTGCGTACTTGCTCGCATCCCTCCTCCACCAACGTCGAGAAAATGTGGCCTTTTACGATCAACATGCAGAAAATTATGATTGGTACAGCTTATCGTCCCCTTGGCTCGATGTAAATATTTTTCTGGATGCCCTCACTTTATCGTTTCATTCGCAAGAGCAGACGAAATCATACTTGTAGGCGATTTGAATATAAACTTGCTTAAAACAGATTTTTTTTTTTATAAAAGAGGGGGCAAACGAGCATGCGGCTCACCTGATGGTAAGTGACTAACGCCGCCCATGAACAACCGCAACACCAGGGGAATTGCAGATGCCTTGCCGGCCTTTTAGAAAGGTGTAAGCTCTTTTCTTGAAGGTTCCTAAGTCGTATCGGTCCGAAAAATTCGCTGGTGGTAATTGATTCCACAAGGAAGTTGTGCGAGGGAGAAAACATCTTCTAAATCGCACAGTGGTGGACCGCCAATCATCCCGATGGTATGGATGGTAACGCGAGTTTTGTCGCGATGTGCAATGGTGAAATTGAGCGGCTGGAATTAGTCCGAACAATTCCTCAGAGCACTTCCCGTAATAGATGCGATAAAATACGCAAAGAGATGCAATATCTCTACGCAGTGCCAGTGTATCGAGCCGATCAGAAAGAACTCGGTCGTCGACGATTCGAACCGCTCTGCGCTGAATGCGGTCAAGTGGAAGGAGCTGGCACTGGGGTGCCCCGGCCCATAGATGAGAACAGTATTCCATGTGGGCCCGAACTTGCGCTTTGTAAAGTTGCAAGCGATTTGCTGGCATGAAGTACTGTCTCGCTCTGCTGAGCACGCCAAGCTTTTTAGAGGCCAATTTGGCCTTCCCTTCCAAGTGACCACGAAACTGCACACTATTCGATATGTCGACGCCAAGGATTCCGAAACTAGCTGAGGCAGCAAGGGGAGTGCCTTGAAACTGAGGAGATACGACAAAGGGGTTCTTTTTAGCGGTAAACGTGCAAACTTGTGTCTTCTGGGGATTGAACTGGACTAGATTTAGTCGGCCCCAATCCGAGACTTTGTTAAGCAAAGACTCGACTTCAGACACAAGTTTGTCCCGGTACTCATCGACGTTTTCCCGAGGAATATTGGCACGGTCGGTATATAAGGCATCACCAGTGCTGTCGTTTGCATAGCAATGAATGCTACCAGTTAGCAACATATTGATATGCAGGAGAAACAGCGTTGGTGATAGCACGCAGCCTTGTGGAACACCAGCGTTAATAGGCTTGAAATCAGAGCATGCACCGTCTACTACGACCTTGATGCTCCGATCAGCAAGGAAACTGGTGATCCATTTGCACAATTTCTCGGGAAGCCCATAGGAAGGAAGCTTCGAAAGAAGGGCGTTGTGCTAGACCCGATCGAAGTCCTTCGCTATGTCCAAACTAACAGCCAATGCCTCCCCCTTGGACTCTACTGCCTCCGCCTAGACTAGAAGATCACCAGCTGATCGACCTCGATGAAAACCGTACTGGCGGTCACTAATCAGCTGGTGATCCTCAAGGTACCTCATAAGCTGGCAGTTTATAATGGATTCCATTATTTTGGAGAACAAAGAGGTGATGGCGATAGGCCTGTAGTTGGACGGGTCTGAGCGGTCGCCTTTTTTAGGGATCGGGTGGACCAAAGCTGTCTTCCATGAATTCGGGACTACGCCTTGGGAGTAGGAGTACCGGAAAAGACGCGTTAAAACCGGTGCCAACTCCGGAGCACACGTCTTCAGCACAATGGGAGGGACACCATCGGGCCCACTCGACTTGCTGACGTCCAGGGAGAAGAGTGCTTTGCGAACCGAGCGCTGTGTAAACCGCACATCCGGCATGGAGCACTCACATCGCGGGATGGTCGGCGGTCATCTAGAGTCGAGTTGGACGCAAAAAGAGAGCTCAACAGATCGGCTTTCTCCTTTGCGGCATGGGCCAGTGAATCGTCCTCTCTGTGCACAGATGGAAGAGATGGCTGACAGAAGTTCCCTTGGACAGCCTTGGCGAGAGACCAGAATGCACGGGTTCCCGAAGGAAGGCGAACTAGCTTCTCGCCAATTCTGCCTATGTGCTCAGACCTTGCCTTGACAATGACGCTTTTGAAGGACCTGGAGGCGGAATTATACTTCTTTTTAAGTGCGCTGGTATTTACATCCCGAGACGTTGATGCGTCAGCCCAGGCCCGGTAGCACTCCTGCTTATAGCGTGATGCTATTTTACAGGAGCGACCAAACCATGGCTGGGATCTGTCTCCGATGGGCACCACAGAGGATGGAATAAAAAGTTCCATACCCTGAAGTACCACATCAGCAACAGAATCGGCAACAACGCTGGGATATTCCGGCGAGAAGAAAACCCGCCCCCAAGGGTAGGATGCAAAAAAAGACCGCATCCCGTCCTAATCAGCTAACGTATAGTGCCAAACACGGCTGCAAGCTGCAGATCGCAACTGCGATTGGAGCGTGAGTGGCACCGTACTCCGGATCAGACAATGGTCCGAAGAGCCCAGAGTGGCATCGACGGAGACCTGATATCTGTCCGGATGAGAGGTCAGCAGAAGGTCCAACAGGGAAGGTACATGGTCTTCCACATCTGGAATCCGCGTAGGCGAAGTAACCAGTTGTGTTAGACCATATGCTAAAGCAAAGTCATAGACAGATCTACCCACATGATCGGTTAAACGAGAACCAAGCCATTCAGCGTGGTGAGCGTTAAAATCACCGAGTATCACGATCTCTGCGGATGGGACCTGTTGTAGCACGGAGTCTGCAGCCATTTGGACGTAGTCGATGAATCGGTCTTTGTCGGTATTACCGCTATGGGACCTATAGAGGCACCCGTAGACGCAGGGATGGTCGCCGCTGTCTACACGCAGCCATAGGATGGACAGGTCCGTACCTTCAAGACTGCCGAGGCGTCGAAAACAGATGTCCTCCCTGACGTATACGCAAACTCCAGCCCGGGGCACAAAGGAGTGTTCCAATTTGTCCCCCGGGTAGGAGAGATATGAAGTATCAGCCGGAGAGGACACCTGAGTCTCGGTTAAAAAGAGCAAGGCCGGCTTCGCCGTCTCTAGATGGTAATGGACAGCGTTAAGGTTGGAATGAAGTCCCCTGATGTTGCAAAAATTCACGGATAGAGTGACAGGGGTCGCCTTGGTTGTATTGCTCCGCTTGCCCCGAGCAGCATTAGTCGTGAGCGGAATTTTGCCCCCTCCCAGAATACGCGGGGCAGCCTGAGCACCCACGCTCAGGAGTGAAGTAGTTTGGTCGTCGATGCTCAGCGAGGGATTCTCCAGGGGTGCTGGTACTTAGTATTTAATTCCACTACCATGTTGATGGGGGGGGGGGGGGGATTGGGCCTCCGGCCACCTGCACTCACCAAGCGCAACGCAGAGGTAAACTTCTACTTCACGCTGGTATTCTGTGAACCACCCCGGTTCGAGCTGACCCATCCGTGCGACAGCAAAAGCTACCGCTTAGCTCTACCACTGTTGACTCTAAAACTAAACTTCTTCATAGTTTTCTCAATTATACTCGTCTATCTCAAGTTATATCTGAGCCTACACATCATACAGACCACAGTGAAACATTCATTGACTTGGTATGCTCCGACATTGGACTTTGTAATACTACTGTGTCACATATACCACAATTTGGGCAACATGCATTAATAACCGTACAATTTCCAATTAAAAACAATAAGGTTAAAGCTCATAGAGCATATTAATGCAGATTTGAACAGTATTGATTATGTGATTGAAACATATAAAAAGAAATTAATATCTTGAGGAAGGAAAATACTTTACCCTCCTTTTTATAGTTCTGTAATCGGATAAAAAGTAGCCTTTAAGTTGTCTCAGGTCCCTAACTACCTATACACAAACTTTAATGGAAATCTGTCCAGTAGTTTGTGCGAGAATCGCGAATACACAGACAGACAGACAAAACTTCTAAAAATCACTAATTTCGCTTCAGTGACCTTTATTTAGTCCCATAGACTTGTTTTTTTTCCCAGAAAACATATGAAGTACAGACACGATTTTTCTATGGATTTATTACATTATATACAAGTCGGAGCGTTTATAAAATACCCGGTTGGATCGAGGTAGAGTGGAGGGTATATCGAGAAACTCCTTCTTGTATCTGTAGTATAAAGTTCACTGTAGGTACCGTGCGCGATAGATTCCGCTTAAGTCATTCAACGAGTGTGGTCATTATACTAGTGCTAAGATAGTGTCGTGGTTCTGTTCGTTGTTGTAATTATTCTAGTGCAGGCAAGGAGTATTGGTGTTGCTGAGAGGCTGTCCTGTGTTAAATTGAGATAAGTAGTGTTGCTGTTGGTTTACATATTTTGGTGTTATCATGTAATTACGTACCTCACGTTACACTGGGGTGTGATTGTGCCGGAGACGGGTTACGGTGTGGTCGAACTTTAATTTCACTATACTGAATGTATAGTGCGTTACGTTGTCTTATTAACGATAATGATTGATTGCGTAAGCACGGGAGCAAGTTGAACATCCGCTCTCACACTTTTATTATTATTAACAATTAACACTATCCTGTTGTAATTTCCGACATCAGAAGTGGGATCTCCTGTTGTCATTTCCGATATACATTTATTATATTTATCTATAATAATGTGAGCAATTTTATTTCATTTTAAGAATATTATAATGCGTTCTTTATTTCTATTCAAATTGTAACTGTAATTTGTAAATACTTTTGTCTGTGTATG